CCAAAAAAAAAAAAAAAGAGCTTTGAACCAGAGGGCCTGAGCAGTGAGGATCCCCACCCAGTAGCTCCACGGGGCCTAGCTGGACAGAGGCCAGCACTGGGGCCCAAAGCTCAGGCCCAGGGTCAGATCCTGGCTTTTCACCAGCTGTGTGACCTTTGGCCAGTCGCCCTTACTAGGCCTGCTTCTTGATTTATAATTTGGGGATAACAAGACCATGTCCTGGAGTCGTGCAGATTAAATGAGATGACTTGGAGGCACTTTTCTAGCCTTAATGCATTAATCGGGAAACGGGTTCAGAGAGGTGCTCGCAGAGCCGGGTTCTCGGGGAGCCTGCTTTCGGCCTCTGTTTCTGCCAGCGCTTGCCCCGTTTCCGCCTGCCCACACAGAAGTGCTGGTGCAGGCTGCACAGCTAAATGTCTTTATTGGCCTGAGTAAAACACCAACTGCGCCGTTTCCACACAGACCCGAGGTCACTGACAGCTCTGGGCACAGGGGGCGCCCTCTATAAGTTTTGGAGGCGGGTTGAGCGTCGGCGGTGTAGAGGTTGGGGGGTCCGAGGCGTCACCTTGCTGGGCGCTTTGGCCATGTCCTGCATGATTGGGCGGCCACCGGAGGTGAACAGGGCCGTCAAGGCGTTGCGGGCGTTGATCGCGCATCGGCGGCTCACGGGCCGGGTGGTGGGGCTGGGGGTCTTGGCTGCCTTGTATTTCTGGACACATGATGTAGGTGAGATCAGGGCTTCCTTCCTAACTGGTATGCTCGAGGCCAGCAGCTGCTCCCCACCCCTGGCCGTACTGGGACAGTGTCACCGGGCCGTGTGACCCTGTGTGGTGCTCCTGTCTCTCTGGGCCAGAGCTCGGAGCTAACAGCCTGGCCCTCAACATTCCCCAGAGCAAGAACAGCAAGAGCCCAGCTCAGGGCCACAGGTGGCATACTCTTTAAGGCGCTGGACTCCCACATGGCTAACCGTGGTTTGAGTCTCAGACCTGGAGGCTTAAAATTCACACTGGGTGTGTGTGCCTTACATGCCCAAATCCCAAAAGAATAGAGGAGAAGGAATTGCAAAGTGGCCATCCCCTCGGAAGGTGATTTCTCACTGTCTCCGTCTCAGAGCGCACACACTCTATAGCAAAAATCTCTTTAAAAAAAAAAAAAAAAAAGCAGAGCTCCGCCCCAGCTCTGATTCCCTCTTGGTGGAGGGTACCTGGGGGATGAGGCTAAGCACAAGGGGGAGGTGGGCCCTGGCTGTGCTGGAGTCACAGAGTTCCTGGAGGAGGGGTGGGGAAGGGTGCCCAGCTCACCTGCAGGTTCTCAAAGTGGGCCGAGGACTTGCAGTGGGAAAGCTGCACCCCCGAGCTGCTGTGGTAGAATTTGTGGCAAAGGCGACAGACGTAGCCCGTCACGGGCACCAGGAAGTCCACACCTGTGGGATGGCAGGGTCTGCACTCACATCCCCATCCCAGCCAGAGTCCTGGCCTCCCAAGGGGCCTGCGTTCTTCCCCGTCTCCAGGTAGGAGCAGAAGAGGACCCCAGGATGGGCTGCCTGCCAGCATGCCCTGGCTGGGATCTGGGGTGCAGAGGCTGGGGCCAGGGCTGTAGCTCGGCAGGTAGGCTCCGGGCTGGGGTCTTACCATTGGCAGTGTTGGGGCTGTCGGTCTCCGAGCCCTTCCACTCCTCCATGGGTGTATCTCTGGAACTCACCTGGAAGCGTGCCAGTGAGGGCCTCAGACTTGGCTTCCCCAGGCCCCCAGAGGCAAGTCAGGGGCCTGGAACCCACCCGTGCTCTAGAACACACCATCCCCTTGACTTCCAAGAGGTTGTGTGTGGGTGGCATTCTCTGAGCCATAATCCATGCCGATTCCAGAGTGCCCTTCCCAAGCTGTGCTCTCTAGGCTCCGCCTATTCAGCCCCGTCCATGAGGAAGTCCTCCTGTTCCCTCAGTGGCCATAGTCTATGTCAGGTGTGCCCGACATGTCACGCGTGTCATCTCACTGAATCCGCGTAACAACCATGGTTTCAGCCGCTCTATGCAAGAGAAAACAGCCCGGGACGTTAACACTTGGCTCGGGTCACGTAGTTGGTCTGTGAGTGAGCCAGGCAGTGAGCCCTGCTGGCCAGACTGAGGGGTCACATTCGACTCCCTCAGTTCCTCCCCGACACTGCAGTGACCTCGGTCCTGGGGTGGGATGTCAGACGGTCCAGGACCCTGCCTCTCACCTGCTAAACAGAAGCCCCTTCCACACGCGACCACCCGACTGACAACCACCCTCATATGCCGGGCTCTTCCAAGGTCTGGGCCCTGGGCTCTGGGCTTAGCCCCAGCGGGGAGAGTCGCTTCTGCGCAGCGGGAGGCGAGGCTGCAGGCCAAGTATCTGCCGAGGTCACGCCACCGCTGAGTGCTGAGAATGATGTCGGCGGCCATGGCCTTCACCGTCATCTCACACTAACTGCGTGCCACAGTGTGCCACATCTGTGCCTTCACCGCTGCTGTCCCCCCGGGCGAGGATGCCCTTCCCTTCCTCCACTCAAGGTCAAGGTTCCAGCCGGGTCCTGAGGCCCCTGCACATCCCCCTGCCGCGCTCCTCCCGGCGCTCAATTACATAGGCATACACAGCACACATTCTCGTCAAGGGCAAATCGTGGCACGCATTCCCGCGTGGCCCCTGGGAGGTGGGGCGACGTCCCTCCAGGGCTGGGGCCAGTCTCCAGCCTGTCTCCCACAGCCCCCCCGTGCCGGCACCTGCTTGCAGAATTCCTCCTCCACCTCAATCTCTTCTTCCTCATCGTCCTCCTCCTCCTCGTCACCCTCGAAGCAGCCCACGGCATCCACCGTGATGAAGTGGTCCTCGTCTTGGCCAGCTATCTCCTTCTCGAGCATCTTCAGCTGCCCAGGGAGTGGGTGAGGGGCTCGGGTCAGCTCTGGGCAGCCAAGGCGCCACACCTCCCCCACCCCACGGCCCCGAGACTCTTCTCTCCAACCTGCTATGGCTTTGAGCTGGGATAAACCTCAACTTGCTGTGTGGTCTTAGCCAAGGCACTGTACCTCTCTGTGCCCATGTCCTCTGAAGGAGCTGGAGTTACCTCCTTGGCTTTGTCCTTGTGTTCCTGAGACTTGACATGTTCCACGAACTTGCGGGGGGTCTTGAAGTAGCGGTTACAAACAGTGCAGAACGGTCGCAGGGACTGTTTGGCGACCTGGAAGAGGAGCCAGGGTGGGCAGCGGCAGACAGTGTCCCCAGGTGAGGCCTTGACGAGCAGCCGGGCAGCGCCCAGCCCGGCCTAGCCTCCTGCCTACAAGCCCACGTCTGTAATAAGCCAGGCGTGCTCTGCCCCGACACTAGAACCCGTGGAAACACCTTTCCCTGTGAGGTTGGCTAGGAGAAGGTGGCAGATGGCAACAGAGACAGGACACAGAAGACGGGAGAGACAGCAGCCACTCAAAGGGCCCCCATGAGCGAGCCTTGTAACTGAATGGCAGGGTTAGATGGTGCCTTGCCCACAATGACAGACAGAGAAACTGAGACCCAGACCATAAACACGTCTGATTCACCCAGAAACCACACTGTGACTACGGACACACAAAGAGCGACACTGACATCACACTCCCAGCGTGGCTCTCTCTTGCCCAGGGGCGGGTGCCCTCATGGCACACAGGGCCTCCTACCTTGTGGTCCTGCGTCCTGCGGTGCTGGATCAGGTCCCCCACATAGTAGACCTGGCAGGTGTTGCACCAGCGCCTCAGTGGAGGCTCCCTGAACGATGACATGATGACGGTCAGAACAAGTGCAGTGTGACACTGCGTCCTGCTCGGAAAGGCAGGCGCTCTCCCGGACCACCAGAAATGTAACGTGACCCCAACTGCACTTCCTGGAAGCTTAACAAAGTGGCCCTGCGGTTTACCTGAGTGAATACTTTGAATACTTAAGCAAGCGGAACCATGACAACTTAGCAGGGGGACCAGCAGGTGGTATAATGGCTATGTTGCTGGACTTCCATGTAGTCCACCACGGTTCGAGTCCCGGACCTGGTGGCTTAAACTCATACCAGGTGCATGTGCATGCGTGCCCAAGATCCTGAGAGGAGAATGGAGGAGAAGGGATTGTGGCATGGCCATCCCCCTGGGGGGTGATTTCTCACTTTCTGTCTCTCCATGTCTATCTTTCTGGCGAGCACATGCGCCCTATAGCAAAAACCTCTCCACAAAAAGAAAACTTAGCCGGGGCTGCGGTGGGGGATGAGAATGAAGAAGCACGTAGGAGGGCAGCCATGAAAACCAGAACCACAGCTCCCATGGTTAGACGACGTGGTGTAACATACACCTTGGCAGCGGATCGATGGGAAGAGCAGCAAAGTCCAAGGTGGGCTTGAATATTGCCAGGAATTCAGTGTCTGATAAACTGATCCAGAAGACCAGGGATGACGGCATAAATGAAGTCAGGACAACCTGCCAGCCACTTGGAGGACAGCCTCTTGTTCCCATCTGACTCCAAAATAAATCCTAGCCGGGCAACTAGACATTCAGGTGGTTTTTACACCTGGAGGTGTAAACGAGACACCTGAAGGGTCTGTGCTCGGGTCCGGAAGCATGCCTGAGTGCACGGAGCACACGCATGCCCACGACCCCTGGCTCAAGCTGGGCATGGGTCCAAGTGTCGAGACCCTCGGGGAGGGGAGTGCTGTCTCTCTTTGTCTTTCATTCACAGGAGAAATAAGCTCCCTATTTATTTATTATTATTTTTCTTTTAGAGAGATTTTTGCTATAGGGCTTGTGCGCTCACCAGAGAGACAGAGACAGAAAACAAGAAACCACCTTCTGGGGGATGGCCACACCGCAGTCCCTTCTCCTCTTGGGATTTTGGGCGGGCGCACATGCACACAGCATGAGTTTCAAGCCTCTCGGTCTACGACTCAAACCTTTTAAACTTAAAAAACGGGGGGAAGGACTTTTTATTTTAGCCCTTTGTTAGGAAAGGCCATTACAGCAAAGTCAGAAATTATAAAAGAAAAATAATAAAAATGACAGTTCTGGTTACATCAAAATTAAAAGCTCTTATACACTGAAAATGTCACAAGAAAATTAAAAGCAAGTGAGTGTCAGAGACGAGCGCTGCAGTGGAACAGGCCAGGGCTCAGTAAGGAACAACCAAATACATGGGCTGGCCCTGGAGCCCAGTGGTTAAGGCAGCCGGACGGCACATGGCTGGCTGTGTGGTCTGAGTCTCAGACACGGTGGGAGAGAGCGAAAACACCTTCCAATGGGGTGTGGCCCGCTGCAGTCTCTTCCTTCATCTCTCCATCCTGTTGGGACTCTGGGACATGTACATAAATGCACTGGCATGTTTTTCTTGTTCTTTTCTTATTTTTTTAAGAGGCTTTTGCCTTAGGACATGTGCACTCACGAGAGAGGAAGAGAGAGACAGTGAGAGGGACCGTAAGAAATCACCCCCCCACCAGGGGAGATGGCCGCACCACAATCCCTTCTCCTCCATTCTTCTCCCATTATCTTGGGAATGCATGCACATGTGCCCCGTGTGATTTTCAAGCCACCAGGTCCGAGACTCACCACAGTCAGCCACTTGGGAGTCCAGCGAGGCAACCACTGCCCCACCTGGGATGTATTTCAAGGTGTTGGGTCCAGGATTCAAACCACATAATTGGCCATGTGGGATGCAGTCCCTTTAACCATTAGGCCACTGGGCTGGCCCAAGTTCGAATTTTTTTAAGAGAATTATTTTATTTAACTTTATTTATTTTTATTTGACCAGAGAGGGACTCAGAGAGGGACAGTGAGAGAATGTGAGAAAGCAAGGCACCAAGTCTGGGACTCGAACTGAGGTTGGCCATGTGGAGTCCAGCACCCTTAATCACCATGCCACCTGCTGGCCCCGATTTAAAAAAAAAAATTATTTATTATTTTTAATTTCTCCTGGTTTAGTCTTGAGGCCAGTGGAGATTTGGCGGGTACTTTGCTGTAACAGCATTTCTTTCTTTCTTTTTCTTTTTTTTTAAGAGTTATTTTATTTAACTCTATTTATTATTATTTTCCAGTTCAATCAGAAAGAGAGGGGGAAGAAAGAAAGAAAGCCACCAGGTCCAGGACTCGAACTGCAGCCTGTCAGGTGGGAGCCCAGTGCCTTTGGCCACCACACCACCTGCACCTGATTATTTATTTGTTGTGCTTTTGAAACTACCAGGTCCAGGACTTGAACTATAGTCAACCACATGGGAATCTAGTGCCTTAACCACCATACCACAGGCTGGCCCACAATTTTGAATTTTTAAACATGCATTTTAATACCTTTATAATAAACACACACACACACATAATAACTGAAGAAAAGGAATGGGGAGGGCATCTGATCATCAAGCAGGCTGAGAGTCTGAGGCCTCCCAGAAGCCACGGCAGGCAAGGGCTTAGCGGGCCACAGCACCCACAGTGGGCTTCCAGGAGGAAGTAGAGCTCGCCCCCACCAGCCAGATTCAGTTCTGAGACCCAGCACTAAGTCCCACTCCTGGGAACACCCTCTCGTCCTCCATGGGGAAGCCCATTCCACATGGCTGGAGTAGAGGTGGCCCTGCCCACCACATCCCTGGCCAGGCATGTGACCACAAGCACGCCGCCCAGCACGTCCTCCAGGAAACGCCCTGCTCCAGCAGACATGGGCTACCTTTCCTCTGGGGTCGCTGGGCAGGGAGGATGAGACCTGGTACCCACCGCAGTGAGAGATGGAGCTCTTTTCTAAAGTGTCCAGCCCCGTAGCCTAGTGGTTAAGGCAGCCAAGCCCACATGGCCAACTGCAGTTCTAGTTCTGGCCCTGGGTGCTTGAAAAACAAGCCGGGTACGTGTGTGCGTGCTTCAAGTCCTGAGGAAGTAGAGAAGAGAAGGGATGTGGCACAATCACGTCCTACTCAGGGGTGCTTTCTCTGGTGAATGCACCCTCTGGCAATTAAAAAATGAAAAAAGAAAAGGAAGGTCCAGCTGGTGGGATGATGGCTAAAGCGCTGGGGCCCACATGGCTGCACAGTTCGCCCTGACCCGCTTGTCGCACTGTGCATGTGCCCAAAATCCCTAGAGAAGAACGGAGGAGACGGGATTGCGGTGCAGTCATCCCCTGCTGGGGGTGCCTCTCACTTTTCCCGGAGGAGAGAGCGCTCCTCCACTCCCCGGTGAGCTCATGCACCCTATACCGAATAAAAATACAATGAGAACAAAGAAAGGGTGTCCCCCGGGTAGAGCAGGAGCCCTGCCTTCCTGGGAACCTAAGAGAGGGAAACACTGCTCCCCTAGTCCGCGCTACTTCCTCCCACAGAAGTTAGAGTTCCTGCCACTTAAAACTGCGAAGGACCCCACCCAATGTGGGGGGACGGTCTCCATGTGGGCCTGCTGCAAACCAAAGTCAGTGGTCACAGGTTAGGACTGGGGGACCATTTCGTTTTTCAAACTGTTGACACTGCAAGGCAGCTGGGCGTGTGAGTGGCTACTAGTGGCGTGTCCAGGAGGCCACCAGGATGGTGATGCGGCTGAGTGTGTGGCCTCAAAAACTCCCAGTTCCCCTTCCATTTCACCGCCCTCCTCCCTGAGCTTTTCTCACCCCCCCTTTTCTTCCACCGCAGCAGGCCAGATCCCCTTGTGGTTCCCAAGAGCCACTGCCATGCGATTCCTACAGTGGCCTGGGAGGACCTGATCCCTTCTCTGTCTCCACTTGACCAGGAACTCGAGGAGACTAGGACCCCTTCCCAGAATCTCTAGCACCTGGTTTGAGACTGGCCCAGAGTTTCGGACAGGTGGCCCATTGATAGATAGTGGCCGGTGGCGAAGGGTGGGAGGGTGTGTGCAGGTGAGGACTCAATGGGGGTGTCATCCAAAGGGGGGGCCAATGAACCCCTCCACCTGAAGCTTCTTAGCAGCTTGTGTGCTGCCCTGGTGTCACCAGACCTATTTTTACATAGTCAGGCTCAACCTACATGTGCAAGCTTGAATCCTTTATTTTTAAGAATCATTTATTTAATTTTATTTCCTATTATTATTTTTTAATTTGCTATAGGGCACATGTACTCACTAAAGAGAGAGAGAGAGAGAAAGAGAGTGAGAAAGCACACTACCAGGTCTAAGACTTGAACTGTGGTCAGCCATATGAAAGTCCAGTGCCTTAACCACACCACCTGCTGGTCCCCGAATCTTTTTTGTTTTTCTTAAGGTTTTTTGCCATAGGGCATATGAACTTGCTGGAGAGACAGAGAGAGGGAAAGTGAGAAATCACTCCCTGGGGGAATGGCCACACTGCAATCCCTTCTCCTCCATTCTCTTCCTGGGATCTTGGGCACGCATGCACATGTGCCTAGAATGAGTTTCAAGCTACTGGGTCTGGGACTCGAACCACAGTCAACCACGTGGGAGTCCAGCGCCTTAACCACCACTACACCACCTGCTGGTCCCAACCCCGTTCTTTCTTACTGGACAGTGTGTTGTGGAATCCTTGTCTGCTGCTACACAAATCCAAGCCCTGTTGCTCTAACACCTCCAGCCCCTGCAGGCCTTTGTGAATGCCACAGGCCACTGAAGGCACCTCCAGCTCTGGGAGGGCAGAAGTGTCGATCAACCAAGCCCTGTGACAATGAAGGAGGGATGTGCAGGGAAGTTTGAACTCAGACCAAAGAAATGACCTGATCCCTGCCATCGTGGCCCCATGCCAGGGAGCAGGACTCTGCCACAACCCATGTCCCCCCACAGATGGTTGCACTGTTCCTGCTCCTGCTTGGATGGAACCTTAAGAGACTGTTGTGAATTCCTGCCCTACACCCCTCACCACGCCACGTTACAGACAGGGAAAACTGAGTGCAGGGCCACACCATTAAAGGAAAAGACCATGCAGGAGGTCATTTCCGGGCCTGGCCCTGTGAGCCTGCTGTCACCCGCCCCCACCCCCACACAGAGCCTCCTGTCAATTCTTTTTTTTTGAGAGAGGTTTTTGTTATAGGGCATGTGTGCTCTCCAGTAAGACAGAGAGAGACAGAGAGACAGAAAGAGAGAAATCACCTGCCAGGGTGGATGGCCACGCTGGAATCCCTTCTCTTCCATCCTTCTCTCGGGATCTTGGGCACGCATGCACATGTGCCCAGAATGAGTTTCAAGCTACTGGGTCTGGGACTCGAACCACAGTCAACCACGTGGGAGTCCAGCGCCTTAACCACCACTACACCACCTGCTGGTCCCAACCCCGTTCTTTCTTACTGGACAGTGTGTTGTGGAATCCTTGTCTGCTGCTACACAAATCCAAGCCCTGTTGCTCTAACACCTCCAGCCCCTGCAGGCCTTTGTGACTGCCACAGGCCACTGAAGGCACCTCCAGCTCTGGGAGGGCAGAAGTGTCGATCAACCAAGCCCTGTGACAATGAAGGAGGGATGTGCAGGGAAGTTTGAACTCAGACCAAAGAAATGACCTGATCCCTGCCATCGTGGCCCCATGCCAGGGAGCAGGACTCTGCCACAACCCATGTCCCCCCACAGATGGTTGCACTGTTCCTGCTCCTGCTTGGATGGAACCTTAAGAGACTGTTGTGAATTCCTGCCCTACACCCCTCACCACGCCACGTTACAGACAGGGAAAACTGAGTGCAGGGCCACACCATTAAAGGAAAAGACCATGCAGGAGGTCATTTCCGGGCCTGGCCCTGTGAGCCTGCTGTCACCCGCCCCCACCCCCACACAGAGCCTCCTGGAGTCCCCACTCACTCCTCTCTCTCCAGGACATCCCGGGGCACGGGCAGCAGGGACAGGAGGCAGCCTTGGTTGGTGTGCTGGAGCTCCCCGAGCCGCTGCTGGTGCTGAGCCCCAGCCATGTGGTTCTGGAACTCCTGGAGCAGGAGGGAGTGAGGATGGGTGTGAGGTGTGGGCTGCAGCAGGGGGCAGGGTGTGGCCCGGGGAGGACTCCGACCTGGGTTCAAGCCCACCCTGACATCACTGTGAGGCCTCTTCTCTTACAACAGCCCTGCATGGGCTGGAGCAGGGCTGGTAAACTGAGGCACGGAGTGACGACACACCAGGCAGAGCTTGGGTCCTTCCTAGAGACTGTGCAGCCACCTCAAAGAAAGAAGCAGCCTCCAGACTTCCAGGTCTTCATGGCTCTGCTCAGGCGAGGCAGAGGAACAAGGGTACCCAGAGCAACAGCAGGGATGATGCGAACGTGAGGCCGTTAGTACTATGCTACTCTTACTTTAAGCCAGGCCCAGGCTCAGGCCTTCAATGTAAAGTCGCCGAATCCAGCGAGGTGGATTCTAAGTGTTTCTTTATCTAACACAAGAGGAAACTGAGACCAGAGAGTGAAATTCACCTTCCAAGGCCCACAGAGCTGCTCAGTGCTGACTTGCACCGGGTCTGCGAGCAGATACAGAGCTGCCCAGGGCAGAGCTCGAGGGCCCAGGGTGGCCCCTGAGGCAGTCGTGGAAAGGGCCGGCTGGGCGACCCACACAGACCCGGAGCCCGCCCTTCCCCCCAGCCTCCCTCCGGCGCAGGTCTGTGGTACCTGCTGGCTGGTGCAGTTGGCTTTGCAGAGGTAGCAGAAGAACTGGAGGGTTTGCTTGGAGGGTGTGCTGCTGGCTGGAGGGGTGGCAGAGATGGAGTCGCTGGGACGGGGCCCGGGTGTGACAGGTGAGGTGCTAAAGGCCCGGCTGTCACTGCTCTGCAGGATGGTGACCTTCAGGGAGCCCCCGGCACCCCACACCTGCACCAGGAGCAGGAGCAGAGATTCCACCAGCTAGACATGGATGGCGGGCCAGCCCTGATGGCGGCCAGCGCCGGCCCTCAACTTCTGTGAGCAAATGTCTCATCAGATCCTCCCGGCGGACCGTGAAACCGAGGCTCTGAGCTGTTAGGTGATGCCCAACACACAGTTACAAAGTTCTACAGTCAGGACTTGAACCGAGGTCTGCCTACCATTCCACCCCTCACGTGACAGGTGAGGAAACAGAGGCCAATGAAGGGAATAGGTCTGCCCTTACACTGTGTGGCAGAGATGAGACCCAAACCCCAGTCCTCCACTCCGCTCTCTCCACCCGAGAGGGGACTGCGCTCTAGACCGGGGATAGGCAGGCTGGAAGGGACCTTGGTCACCAAAAGTGCCTCCAGGTCTTCAGAGCAAAGCTGTGTGGAGGTGACACGGCAGCAGGACAGCCTGACGTGGACCAGCCACCGTCAGTCCCCATTTGGACTGCCCACACTACCCAGCTGCTGTCCCACTTCACAGTGGGGACTCATGGGGTCCCTGAGGTGCTAGGGCAGGAAGAGGCCACCCCACTGCTGGCCTTGTGGCCTGCACGCCGCCACCTTGGCACCTCTACCCACCCCTAGCAGCTCTCTTGCTCTTTTTTCACATTCTCCCACGTCCAGGCCGCTGGCCGCCTCCTCCTGGCTCTCTTCCATGCTGCCCTGGGCATCCACCGAGTCTGACGAGGCCTCCTCTGGGCCTGAAATGATAGATGTACTCAGGGATATGGGCCTAAGAGCTGCCTCTCTGCCCACAGCCAGGATTGCAGAGCCCCCAGTGCGGAGGGCCCCCAACCAGGGTTCCAGGCCTGCTCTTCCGTTCCTGGCAGCACCCACTCAGGGCTGGACAATGCTGGGGAAGGCCAAAGGGTCCAGGCAGAGCTGTCCCATGGGTTGGGCGGGGAGAAGCCAGCACTTATGTACCTTCCACTCTAGCAGGTGGCATCTCCGGCACCGTGGTGAGCCCGGGGGTTGGTGTGCGGTCTGGTGTTGGCACCGACACCTCGGGCTGGAGCTGAGGCTGCCCAGGAGTCTGCTCCGGCTGCTGCTCCTGTGGCTGGGCCTGCATGTGTCCCTGTGGATACGTCTGCGTCTGGGCCTGCTTCTGCCGTGGCACCTGCCCCAGGGGCTGCACCTGCGGCTCTGCCTCCTGCCGCTGTGCCCGCACCTGGTCCTGCGGCCCCAAGTGCTCCAGAGACGTCTGTGTCTGCGCCTGCTTCTGTAGCTGCGGCACCTGAGCGCCCGCCGGCGGCCCCAGCTGGGTCTGTGGTGGCACCTGGGCCTGGATCTTCAGGACCCGGGGCTGGAATCGCGGCAGCCCACGGGCTTCCAGCGGCTCGGGCAGTAGCTCAGGGGTCTGTGTCTGCTTTGGTGCCATCGTCCGGGCCCGCGGTGGCACCGCAGCCTGCGGCTGCCCTGGAGGCCCCTTCTCTGTGGGCTTCTCTGAGCTAAGAAGGAGCAGAGATCAGAAAGATCACATCTTGCGAGAGGCCCCAAGGCCTCCCCGGACCCAGCTCCACCTGTGAATTCTACCACTTACAAGCTGGGGATGTGGGCAAACTCCTTGCTCTGTGGGCTTCAGTACCCTAAACAAATCATCCGGAGGACGATTCCCACACCCTGATTCCCACACCCTCAACTTGCAAACTTGTATCAGATTAGCCCATGAACCCGCCCACTCTGAGGTCCCAGAGGCGAATCTTCACTCCTCCAGCCGGGCCACCCAGGGTGGCTCAGTCTAAGCGAGGACACCAGAGTCTAGCCTAGAACCTCCCCAGGTAAGGCAAAGGTGCAGACACCAAGGGACCTTCCTGCAAGCCAGGGCCAAGGCCCTCTCCTGCTCCAGCTCCCCATCGGCCCCCCACACCCAACGCTGCCTTTGCAGGCCTGAGAGCACAGTGCCTCAGTTACCTCTTCAGTCTCTTGGCTGGTGGCTCGGCCGCGTCGCAGGGTTCGGGCCCAGGTGCGGGGACAGGTTTCTCCTTGGTGATGCCATCTGGGCAGGGGGGCGGGTCTTGGTCTGGAACAGAAGCAGGTGGGGACACAGATGCCGGTGAGCTCGCACATGGAGCCTGTGTGACCTCTAGGACATGGGCCCTGGGCTCACCTCCCCCACCAAGAACCCTCCCACCCTGCACCCACCTGCCCCAACCCACGTCCTCTCTGAAGGCCAGCAGCCTCCCTTCCTCACCTTCCGGTGTGTCTGTTCGGGAATCCAGGGCTTCGTCAGACCCCTCTGGGGGGTCTGACTTGTCTTCCATGGGCACCGTCTGAGAAGAAGAATCCTGCTTCCTTTCAGAAACTGTTTTTTTTTTTTAATAATTATTTTTATTTTATTCATGGTCATTATTTTATTTTATTTTATTTTTGAAGTAGACCAGAGAGAGGCAGAAGGGAAGTGAGAATGCAAGCTGCCAGGTCCAGGACTTGAACTGTGGTCAGCCATGTGGGAGTCCAGCCACCCTAACCACCATGCCACCTTCTGGTCCCTAGAAACTGTTTTTGACCTCTGCCACCCACCCTTGTAAATACTGCCTTGCTCAAGGTGGGCTACAACAGGCCTCCAACAGATGAAGGGGCCTGGCCTCTGAGCTGCTGAGCAGGAATCATGTTAGGGGGTCCCAGCCTGTCAGAGAAGCCCAAGCTGGAGGGGCACAAAGCCTGGCCCACAGTGCTGCCTCCTGACTCCGACCCCTTTTCCTGAAGCAGCCAGGGGGCTCCCCCTAAGACACAACCCTCCTAAATTAATGCAAACCTGACTACCACCCTTTGCTTGTTCAGGCTCTAACCCCTCTTGCGGTTTTCTGGGGGTACTCTTTAACCCAATGCTGAAAACCTTCTCCCCACTTCTTCAACCCCTGTCCTGCACAGCCTGGCCTCTACCCCTGCCCCACACCCATTGCCCCTCAATCACCAGCCGTCTCCACTCTCGCTGGCCTTCTCTGCTCGTCCACACTGGCCTTCTGTATGGTCAAGCACCAGACCTCTTCCTGCCCCAGGTCTTCACCCAGAGACTCAAAGGCACTTCTTACAGCAAGCCTTCCTAACCTGATGTTACAGTACAGGCCCAGACCCCAGTACAGGACCTGCCCAGTACAGGCCCAGACCCCAGTACAGGCCCAGACCCCAGTACAGGCCCCAGACCCCAGTACAGGCCCACACCCCATTTTTACAGGCCCACACCCCAATACAGGACCTGCCCAGTACAGGCCCCAGACCCCAGTACAGACCCCAGTACAGGTCCACCCCAGTACAGGCCCCAGACCCCAGTACAGGCCCAGACCCCAGTACAGGCCCCAGACCCTCGGCTTCCAGTACATGGCTAGAGGGCATGTACGCTGCCAGAGAGAGGGGGAGAGGAGAAAGCGCCCTGCGGGGGACTGGTCATGTCGCAATCCTTTCTCCATCCCTCCCTCCTTTGGGAGTTATGGGGACACGCACACATGTGCCCAGTGTGTTTCTCAAGACACCAGGTGTGGAACTCAAACCATGCCGTTGGTCATGTGGGACTGGCTGCCCTGGCCATCGGGCCCCAGAGCCAGCCCTTGGGGCAGTTTCCACAGCCTTTCTTTTGCTTTTTCCTTTCAGTGCCATAAGACACACGTGCAAGCATGCACACGACAGAAAGAGGAAAAGCACCCCCAATGGGGCCTGGTCAGGCCACAATCCTACGCCGTTTCTCTAGCTTGTCGGGATCAGTGCACACGACCCGGCATTTCACTCAAGCCACAGGGCCAGGATTCAAACCGTAGTCAGCCATGTGGGATCTGGCTCCCTCTGCACGGTGCTTAACTGCTGCACCAGCGCCGGTCCTCCACAATCTTAGCGACTCCACTGCAGCGTTACTGCATTAGTATTTCTCACCACCACCTGAAGCCCAAGACCTCAGGGCTGAGGCCCAGACCAGAGACACTGGCTGTACCACTGAGCCCCACGCAGGGACTTTCAGATGTCTGCCAGCCAGGCCCAGGGCACCCCAGGACTCCCCCAGGAGCCCGCCTGCAGTAAAACCCAAGGACCCAGCGCTGAGTGGGGAATGCGACTTGTACAGCACATCAGGCCTCCGTGCCCAGCTCTCACCCTGCACAACGCAGGCACTGGCCTGTGGTGATTCAGGCGCTGGCGTGTGGGTTCAGCCGT